AATGTATGAATATAATATACAAGTTTCACTTTTTAAATGGAATTACTGAAATCAATCTACTTTTTCATGATATTCTAATTTTATGACCAGCACCTGTAATTTAAGCCATTTTTTACTTATTTCTGGATTGTTTTTGCAGTGTGGTTCTAAATGGACCTAGACAGGAAGAGTTTCTGGTTCTTAACGTACCCAAAGAGGAGGAAGTGGTTCTGAATTGACCCAGAGAGGAAGAGGTTCGGATTCTGATTGGACCCAGAGAGGGAGAGCTTCTGGTTCTGAACAGACCCAGAGAGAAGGAGCTTCTGAACAGACCCAGAGAGTAGGAGGTTCTGGTTCTGAACAGATCAAGAGAAGAAAAGATTCTGGTTCTTAATGGACCAAGAGAGGAAGGGCTTCTCGATCTGAACGGACCCAGAGATTATGAGGTTTTGGTTCTGATCCAACCCAGAGATGAGGAGGTGGTTTTGAACAGACCCAGAGAGGAAGAGGTTGTGGTTCTGAACAGAGCCAGAGAAGAACAGCTTTAGGTTCTGAACAGACCCACAAAGGAACGGGTTCTGGTTCTGATCAGAGCCAGAGAAGAACAGGTTCAGGTTCTGAACAGACCCAGAGAGGAGGATGTTGTGGTTCTGAACCGACCTAGAGAGGAGGAGGTTATGTTCTGAATGGACCCAGAGAGGTGATGTTCTGTTTCTGAATAGACCAAGAAAGGAGGAGGTTCTGGTTCTGAACGGATCTAGAGATCTGGAGGTGGTTATGAATGTACCCAGAGAGGGAGGGGTTCGGTTTCTGAACTTACCCAGAGAGGAACAGTTTCTGTTTCTAAATAGACCCAGATAGAAGTGTGTTCTGGTTCTAAATGGTCCTAGAGATGTGAGGTTCTGGTTCTGAATAGACCAAGAGAGGAGGAGGTTCTGGTTCTGAATGGACCCAGAGATATGGAGGTTCTGGTTCTGAATGGAACCAGAGAGGAGGAGGTTCATGTTCTGAAATGACCCAGAGAGGAGGAAGTTTTGGATCTGAACTGACCCGTAGAGGAAGAGGTTTGTGTTCTGTCTTTCCAAGTTTTTTATTTAAAAATCTAAATAGGCTGACCTGCAAGGCTTTAAACCTGCGTTTGAATGGAGACGAAGCCATTCTAAAGCACATATCAAGGTGATCATTATGAGCCTTGATCCATATTTATTTTTGATTATGTTCATGGTCGAGAATCCAGCTTCACAGCAGCAGGTTGAGCCAAACATACTCTAAATGTGCAGGGTCATCTTTAAGCACACCATTTCACTTTTCGTTCACCAGTTCACCACAGTTCTTCCAGCTGTCCACACTTTCTCTGCTCTCTTTTTCTCATGATGTGTTTAAGATGCAAAGATCAATTTCTCGAATGTGGATTCAGTAAAGTTCAATTATATAACAGGTTAGCAAAAGCGTGAGATTACTGTATTTCTGGAACAACCAAAAAAGATAAATCAAGTTGATTTTCTTTTCTTTGTTTACATGGTTTAAAAATATTTCAGTGATAGAGGATATAATTTCTTCACTAAAATGTAGTAAATAACATCAGAAGTTTTTTTTTTTTTAGATAGTAAAAAAAAAAATCAAATTTTTCAACATTTTATTTTTTCTTCATTATTCTTCGTAGTAACCATTAGATGTCGCCAAAGCATTTTGTCTGATTCCACCTTAACATCATGACTGCCTTGCAAATGAAAGACTATACTGCTTCCTAAGTAGAGGTGCTCTAATATACTGGTCAGAGATAGTAGTCAGCTAGGTTTCCTATCATCAGTTTTGAGTAGGGACCTGTACAAAATTTGAAAAATCTGAGCTTTGTGTCTGTTTCCTGTGCAGTATCTATATATTGATTTTCATTTTAGTTCAATTCAGTTTATTTATACAGCGCCAATTCACAACACATGTCATCTCAAGGCACTTTACAGTTAACAGATCATACAATCCAATTTATATATCAACAGGATGTCATAAAAGCCTTATGATATAAACACCTCAACTAACAGCACACATTTGCTGTGTGCTTCTGGCCCATCTAGGCATTGCATATACATCTCTATCCTTACACATCTATAAGGCAACTATCTGCAGCATTTGGGAGAGGTGTGTAAAGTTAAGAAGGAAGGTTCACAGCGAAATAGAGAAAAACAGAACAACTAAAATAATCTTTTCTAAAGAACCTTTTTCAAAGTTGAACAGGAGGAATAAAAGTGAAGCAGCATTTACTGTGGAATGTTATAAAAATATAAAAGGATGTACAACATTTAGTAATGGATCATTATTCCTCTACCCTCATTCTTATAAATGGACTAAAATAAAAAAAAGTGACACATCAGGAGTACAGGATTTGATGATGTCTCTCAACATTTCAATGAGGTTTTTTCCTGTTTTGAGCACAGCTGCTCCCTACAGTCATCCGCTCTGCATACCTGAAGAGGACGTGGCAGAAGCAGAAAGAAGAGACAGTGCAGTTGTCTGATCTTATACAAAGTTGGTCTTTAAGAATAAAAATTTGGGCTATTTGAGAAAGCCTTTGACTCAGCTCAGAAGGGGATTTACCATTAGGCAATACTATTCAGTTGCCTAGTTCCTGGGGGCCACATAAAACTCTGTTTATGTGTATGGTTAATACAACTATTCCTTATTTGTACACATTAAGTATGTTTTTGACAACAACACTTTTGCTAAAATGCCGTCAGAATGCTTTTTAAAGCTACAGTGTGTAATTTTCAGCGACATCTAATGTCCAGACTGCAGACCTCAGCAACATGAACATCTCCCCCCCACCGCTTCTCCCCCCAACAGTACGGCGAGCGTTACAGGATAAAAAAAGTCATGAGGTTTGTTTACATAGATAATTTTACAGATAGTATTTCATTAGTCTGTGTAGGGTATAGATTTCAGTTAATCTCTCTCAACTTGCCGTAGTTACTTTCAAGCGTAATGGGCGATCTCGCAATCGCTAGTTTGTTGGCTCTGCGCTGCCGTAGCGCAAAGATTTCTGCCTCCATGGCTGCGAGACCCGCTCCTATGTAATTATAAATAAGGAATTCTAAGGCAACGCAAATATTAAGGTTAAGAGGCTGAGCTCGTAGATTATGATAAATAACATAGTTATGTATAATATATTACATTTCTGACTGTATATCCCTGTAATTATTACACACTGTAGCTTTAATATTAAGTGTGCCTCAGCACCCCCTTCAGTGTCCACTACATTGGATCAGTCCATTTGCTACACATGCTGAGAAAGGTCAAAAGAGACAGCAGCAAACCATTTGAAGGCTAATGATGAGAAGAGCAGTGTTGCCAGCTTAGCGCTTTTGTCACCATATTTAGCGACTTTTATTTGAAAACAGTGCCTTGTGCCAAATCTAGCGAGTTTTTTCTGCTACTGAAGACTTTGGCGACAACATATAAAAGCACCAAACTCTGCTCTCCAGAGTAAGTAGATTGGTAACCCCTCCTCCTGCTCTCCTCTATGTTGTCTACTGTCATGATTCATGCAGATATTATTTCATACAAATGAAAAAGGGAGAACAGATAATCACATCATGGCTTGTCTGTGGTGAAAAGAAGGACTGGGTTATTTACTTTTGCCGTCGCGTTTTTGAAAACACAGGAAGGAGCAATCAACTAAGTGAGCTTAGTGCTTGGAAAAAATCTTTCATTCCTTTTGAGACAGCATGAAAAGTCAGCTGAGTACAAAACATAGAGAGGAAAACAAGAAAATGGACAAGAAGAGAGGGACAAAAAAATAATAAATAATGAATGTCTATTCTATTAACATTTCTGTGTCTGTATAATAGGTCTGTTTTATGTGTTGTCCTCTCAATTCAGAGGGCCCTCTGCCTATCTCTGCCTAGGGCCCCAAATTTCCTATATCCACCCCTGCCTATGACTACCCAATTCTAGAGCCAAAGGCTGTATTTCTCATGAAAAAATAAAAAAAGACTCTGTAATTGTAGTCATTCTGTAGCAATCAGAGGTAAGCAAACATTGAGGAAACATAACCTCACTGAAAGGATTTTACTGCTCTGATACACATGGAGAGGCTACTGTGCTCACTTTCATTCTATCTCTATTCTCCCACTCTGCAGAATCTGTTAATTCAATCTCTAACGTTATGTTCTCTCTGCTTTTCCTCATAGCTTCATCTAGTCTGTTCCTGTTTGGCTGTGACACCATCCTGGAGAGAAATAGCAGCTGTGCTGCTGCCATCGACACATTTGTTTGTAGATGTTGGAGATCAGCCTGTTTTTCAGTGAAGTCCTGTTTCTTTGACTGTGACTGGCTGGATGTGCTCTCTTCGTCCTCTCACAAGGGAGTTGGCTCGGAGCTCTTCTACCTGGCTGTGTGTTCCCTCCGTGGGGCCGCCTCTTAAAGTTGCTTTTAGTGTAAGCGGCAGATGGCCGCTTACACTAAGCTGGAGGTTTCTTCGTATTAAAAGGGAGTTGTTCCTCTCCACTGTTGCCACAAGCATGCTTAGTGTGACGGATTGCATTTCAGTCAATGAGTTGATACAGTCAACTGGTTTTCCTTAGATAGAAAACTTTGAATCAATTTGACTGGATGATCTGATGAACTGTAAAGTGCCTGTGTTGTGAATTGGTGCTATGTAAATAAATTGAATTGAATTACTGTGTTGTTTTAAAATCTAATTGGAAAATGAAGTTATTTTAGTTATTATAATTATTTTCATGCAAAACAAGAATAAAAAACAACAACAAAAAAAATACAATTTTTAATGGTTTAAAAGTGTGCTGACCTTGACATGAACTGTTTAATAAAATTACAGAAAACCAAAACAGGAGTTTTTTGTTCTGCTTTTTAATCAATAGGCTTGGAAACAGGATTACAGAAACAACATGCCTGTGAGCTGTAATCCTGTGGCTAGGCGGGAGCAAAGTCCAACAGCGGTTTAAACTCAGGCACTGATCCACCTGATAGAATGTAAAACTGGAATTTCAGAATCAGTTTTCTTCTGATTTAAAACGCTTTATAAACGCACTTCCCATAGAACTTGCGAAGGTTTTTGTTTAGTTTAATTGGAACTCTCCCTATGGAAAATGTTAAGGGAAACGTGTGGGGGCGTTTCCCTGCTCCAGACCCCACCTGTCAGGTAAAAACTGCTAGGTGAAGGTGTCCACACTGATCCAGCGGCGCCATGCAGTCGCCGGCCACGGATTCTCCTGTCAGGCCGGGCTTCCACAGGGTGGAGATCCAGAATACCACCTGGGATGTCCCGGACAGGTACTCGGCGCTGCAGGCGATTGGCTCCGGAGCTTATGGGACAGTGTGGTGAGTTTACCCTGGGAGGATGCGCAATACTAAACAGCTAAGATAAATGATCCAATTTTTCTCTCTCTCTCTCTCTCTCTCTCTCTCTCTCTCTCTCTCTCTCTCTCTCTCTCTCTCTCTCTCTCTCTCTCTCTCTCTCTCTCATATTATAACAAATATAAAAATAAATCTTGAATATTCTGGAGTTACCTTTCTATAACTGACATTATTCAGATTCTGTAAGAAAACAAACTGAGCCACAGCCGCTTTAATGTTTAGATTGCTAACCAGTCTAAACATTAAATATTCTCCACTAATTTTCTGTAGTTTTATATACGAGTTTTATATATGTGTGCTTTGAAGTACCAAGTTTAGTGTATCTTGGTATATTTTTATTCTTTTTGTTTTTACTGTCAATTTGGAAATTGTTTTATGTTAAGGGTGGATAAAAATATGAATGTTAGTTGATTTTTAAGAGTAGCCAATAATACCCAGAACGATTTACTTCTAATCTGTTCAAGTGTTTGATTGAGGGCAGGTATAAATTGTTTGACATCCTAAATATTTTTCTTTAGGCTGTGTTTTAGGCCTTAAAAGCACCTCCCACTGCTGTACACTCAAGAGGCCCACATCCAGTGTTTTGCTAACAGAAACTGTTTTTGTCTGCCTGAAGCAAACCAGCAAGTCAATGCAGGTTCTTTGAAATTATAAGAATCTTCTAACACAAACATTCGAAAGGATAGGCAGGAATTTAACTGTCCAAGATACTGTTCTTTCTATTTATTACCCAGTGATGGAACAGAGATGCTGTTCAGGGATTATCATGTGTGATCACTGAAATTCACCTTAACAATGTTGTTGTTTTTACTCCTTTATATCTGTTACATAAAGTCTAATTGTAAAAAAAAAAAAGAAAAAAAGGGGACTTTTTTTAGGAAGCATGCATAGCCTAATTAATAGAGTTGAACCGCTACCAGTATGGGACAGTCCCCGATACTGCTCTAAAATGATGGTATCGATATCGGCAAGTACCGACAAATAGGGCACAGATACCATTTTGAGAGCCAAAAGTTTGTTTTTCACCCATTCCATGTAGGCAATAAAAAGTTCTACTGGATTCACTTTGTATTAGTCTTTTTCCTGCTTCACAAAGGTAGGCAGCAGCTTGACAAAGCCACGATGGCAATTATTTTACATCCAAGTAGTATGCAGTTCTTCATATATACAAACATTATTTACAAACAGATGGTATCGGTATGGTATCAATATCGGCCGACACTGCACAGCCACGTATTGGGGAATTGTATTGGGGCAAAAAAATGGCATTGGCACAACACTACTAATTAATATAGTCTATTGACCTAAAGCAATATAGATGGTATGGTCGTTTTATGTCAGGTACGCCGGTCATTGACCTTGACCAAGGCACCTTACAGTAGAACTGCAGTCAGTCCCTGGACTGGCATGGCTATCACTGCTCCTACATAGCTAGGGACAAATAGAGAGGACAAATGTCCCACTGGGATCAGCTTCTTAGTCATGGTAGGCCACTTCCTTGATGTTATTTATTTTCCTCAGGCTACTTGTAAGCCCACAGCCTGCAAAATGTTGAAAGGGTAATGTTATTGCCATTACTGTTAATGTATACCGTAGCAGAAATTGTACAAATTCAGTAACACACAACATCACAGGGGATTGTATGGGGGTGGGGGGGGTAAGAAGGGGGATGCCATCCCTTCTCACCCCTCCTCAACTTGAGTACTGGTTATTAGTGTTGCACCAATACCGATACCAGTATCGGATGGGGCCGATACTGATACTGCCCTAAAATGGTGGTATCGGTATCGGCGAATACCAACAAATAGGGCACCGATACCATTTTGAGAGCCATAAGTTTATTCAACTATTGTCACCCATTCCAGGTAGGCAATAAAAAGTTCTACTGGATTCACTTTGTATTAGATTTTTTGCTGCTTCACAAAGGTAGGCAGCAGCTTGACAAAGACATGATGGCAATTATTTTACATTATTATGGTATCGGTATCGGCCGATACTGCACAGCCAGGTATCGGGTATCGGTATCGGGGTCAAAAAATGGCATCAGCGCAACACTACTGGTTATACATACTATAAACAAATGGCATGTCTGATTGATTTTTCTCTGATTGAATTTTGTTGCTGATTGTTCTTTTTCAATCACAAATCAGCAAGATTAGATCAGATTTGCTTCTTTCAGTCAGCATGTTTTTAGTTTTCATCCTTATCAGGGATCAACAATGAGTTAAAGACAAAAAACTTTCAGTAAGTTTGAGCTTTTCAATCCTGTATCAGAGAAAGTCATATGAGCTACTATGTAAATAAGACCATGTGTTTATTCTTGTCTAGCTCCGCCATTGACCAGAAGACAAAAGAGAAGGTGGCAATCAAGAAGTTGTATCGGCCTTTCCAGTCCCTCATCCATGCGAAGCGGGCCTACAGGGAGCTCAGGTTGCTCCGCCATATTCAGAATGACAATGTGAGGAACATGACAGGGAATGACAATGAGTCAGCATAAATTGAGTACAGTGCTGCTAAAAATAATTTCATTCTAGATTATTCTGTCTCTAAATTGTTTTAGATTACACATACATAATCTCAGACATACATAACCTTGGTAAAAAATTTTAAAAAAGTACTTGATAAATGATCATATCCTCTGTTTGTGACAAAACCCATCCAAAGCAATATCGATTTACTGTATAAAAATACAATTGGCTCAATAGTTTTGTTTTTGGTTATTCTTTTTTTAAGCCACAAAAGCCATAAAGGCCTGATTACTGCCTGATCTTTAGGATCAATGAATCAGCTCAATAGGTACTGTCCAACAATATGAAGTAGGCTTAAACTGGTTATTAGAAGAAGTTCAAGAGCAGATGAGACACACAGTTGTTTTCATCTATCCATTTGCATTAGGTTACAGAGGGTCTGAGAATCTAGCAAACCACAGTGAGAGGCATTATCTGCAAATGGAGAAAAAAGCAGGATTGTAGAAAACAGCCAATAAAATCTCAAACTCAACGCTATTTCTGACATTTTGAATTGAAATTGCTTCTTGGATGGAAAGAGAAACATCTTCAAACTTGTAAACAAAGTCCAGTGGATTGTTTTTAATTTTCTTTTTTGGAATGATTATGACCTGAATGACTGAGATCCTTCAACAGCAAGAAATGACATATATAGTAGCAGCCATTCAAAATGGCTCTTCCCAGTCAAACACCAGCCGAATGGCAGCCCACATCCCTCCAACTCCCATCGAAATGCCTTCCAACTTACAGCCACTGGAATGAACCCCTCTTGAAAGTATTTTTACTCTGACTCCACCCTTTCACAGAATTACAGTTACAATTTTGAACGGCTACTACTGTATTAGATGCTTTGACTGTACTACAGTTGTTTGTGCCAGATGGGCTGATACGAGAGTGTTTCAAGAATTGCAGACAGGTTTGAGATGACAGGCAGTAAAGCCTGAATTACTATTATTATATGCAAAATACTGCATCTAGGTGTACAGCTCCAGAAACCTTCAAGCAGATTGGTTATTCCTCCAAGCTACAAAAAGAAACCTGAGCCTTTATGTAAATCATTAAATTTACATCTAAACTGAGTGTAATCATGTTTATGGATTCATATACTTTTCTTTAAAGGTGATCTGCCTTCTTGATGTCTTTACACCGGACTCCTCCCTGGAGAAATTCCAAACCTTGTGAGTAGAGAAGTCCTGCCAGCTTGTTGATTTTGTCAGTGGTCCTGTCTGTGATTTATCCTCCACCTCTTTATTTTAGTGGGTAGATTAATTTGGATTTTCTATATTGTAATACTCTCTTGTTTTTATTTTCAATGAGCTGCTTTATATATACTGAATATCCGAAATTTCTGGTTTGGTTCTATGGATTTTTCTATATTTAATTTACCCTTTTCTTTCGTCCCTTGTTTGTCTGTTTTTAGTTATATGGTGATGCCCTATGTAGCCAAAGATCTGGGGCACATTATGAAGAACAGTAAATTATCCTTTCGCATCATCATATATCTTTTTTATCAACTCCTAAGAGGCCTGAAGGTGAGATGTTTGGATTCTTATCTTAAAATGTGTATATATTTTAAGCATTTCATTATGGTCCAGCTTTGGTGTGTAATACAGAGTATCATGAGCTCATGCTGAACATTTTTGCTAATTGATGATGCACATGTACATGCCCCTTTAAATAAGTGTATTGATCATACTTCTGAAAATACAAAATTAACAGCATCCCTTAATCTTTTTCAGATTTCTATCAAGACCCTTAGGGTTTTGTTCCAATGTTTTTGATAAACAACATAAACAAAGCAAAGTAGTGCAGAGTGGAATCTGGTTAGCTTCAAACTTTTTTAACAAAATGTCTTCTTGTCATTTTTAGAAGAGGCCAGATTTGTGGGATTTATAAATTTTACACTTAGATTTGAAACTCCAAAAAGTAGCCCGTATTTTTATTATAAGAGTAAGGGAGACTAGAAGTCCTTGACAATTTTTGTTTCAGATTTTAATGTAAAAAGCCCAAATATGTATCAGTTTGCTTCTATTTCATAGTTAGCACTCGTTTAAGTTTTAAGCAACATGAAATGTCAATATTTCTCAGCTTAAGCAAGTCTGAACCAAGTCCAACCAACAAAAAGAAGCAGCAGCAGTACAAGGTGGAACATGTACAGAGGTGAAAAAAACAGCAACAAAAAAAACCTTTAACTGGCTTCCAAGATAACTACGATAAAGGTCATCTCTGGGTAGAAACAAAAATCTTGTGAAACAGAACAGAAACTAAGTTTAAGGTGTGAACCAAAACTGTATTGCTGTTTATCTCATTACTATTTTTTTCACATTTCCCACAACATGAAGTCTGTATGACACTTTAATTTGAAATCATCTCATTCTGACAATAAAATTATTCGTCAAAAGATGATACAAGTGACAGCCTTCCTCTGAAAGATGAAGCACAATTTCACAATCAAAATAACTTTGTTCAACAAAGAAAGGAAGCTATTTTCTTTGTTTCTGTTTTCTTTAAAGAAAGCTTTAAAACTTGTAGCAATGCCTTTTGGACAAGACAAGCTTTCTGAAAAGATTTCCATCTGTTTTAATCAGCTTCATTTTTTTTAAGAAAAGCATCCCTAAAGCATGATGCTGCCATGACTGCGTTTCACTCATATTAGCAGCATGCATCCTTTCACTGTGGCCCTCTACATGAGTTGTATCAAAGTGAACCAGAGTTAAATATATGAAGTGGAGGGGAATATAACTAATGAATCTTAGGACACAAAGTTGCAATTTACAGGAATGGGTGGTTTAAATACTTGTCTTGAAGATAATATATGGGTTACTTCTACAGCTATACACTCAGGAAAACATTTAGCTGGTTGTTTTCTGGTTGCTTAACCATGTCTTCTGAGCTTATCTGAACCAATGACTCCTACTGGGCTTAAGTTTGGTTCTGGGTTCTTATGAAACTTCCAGGATTAATTATCAATATAAACAGAGTTGTTAGTCCAGACACTGCTGGAAAGGTTCAGTATTATTGATAACTGCTCTTGAAATTGTTTTCTGGAGCCCTAAAGTCTTAAAAAGTGCTTTTCTACACCCCCCAGACCCACACATGTCAATATTGGGTTTAATTCTCCTCATTCTTGAATGTCTTTGGATTGGTGCATAACATGTTGCTTTATAAGTGCAGGGCCGTGCAGAGACCACTAAAGGGGCAGGTGCTCAAAAAAAAAAGGGCACATCTTATCGCATTTTAGGACAGAATATTAACAAAGTCACATAGCTTTCAGAGTTTAATGAACAATGATAAATCACAAAATTGTGAGACATACAATCAAAGCTAAGGGAAATCTCTACATAGAACATAGAACTATGCATATGTAAAATATTTTATTAGTAATTTCTTTCTGCAGGTCTATTTTGTTATAGGAAAGTATTACAATATTCAAACCTGCAATTTAGCCAAAGATGTAAATCAGAGCTGGACCACCAGACATATTTTGTCTTTACAGAATTAAACTGTTAAAAATGCATACAAGGGCACAATGCAACCTTTTAGTGTACTGTAATCTATAAAAAAGAATGTCTGCCTGGTTTGCTGTACTGACAGTGGAGATGGAGACGGTCCATTCAGAAAAGCAGAGCTGCTGCATCAAACTTTAACGTGGAACTGCAGAAAAAAAAGAACAAAACAAACATTTTATTAATGCATGTCACCATGAGAAAAGCCTACTCTGTTTGTGTCTTAGTGTATTTTGTAAGTACCTATATACATTTTCTTCAATCTTTCCTCTTCGTTTTTTCTTGTCAGTTTCTCTTTTCTTTTTTTCCTCATTGTCTCATCTTTTCTGTGTTGAGTGAAGGTCAATGTCTTATTTATTTCAGTCTCTTGCCTTTCTTTTTCCCCCAAACTAAATCCAAGATTATGATCCAAAAACGTATTTTCCGTCATGGTGATTTAACTGTTTAAAAACAAATTTCCATCTTTTAAGCATTTTTGCTATTTTTGTTCTCTTTTGTTCACAGCAGCAGTTTTCTGTTAGCCATGTCTTTAAAAATGTTAACCTCACTGTGAATGATTGGCACATCCTTCTCGATTGCCAACAAAAGAAGGTCTGACAACCAATCCTCCTTGCATAAGCTGCGCAGTTTTGTTTTCACCAGCTTCATACATTATATCTATCATATATCTATCATGGTAGTTCTGGATGAGTTCTCCTTTAAGATACATTTACCTAACGCTAGAATAAATGCAATCTACATCATGCAGCAAAGGAAATTAGAAAATCAGCCATATATTCATTATGGAGATGATAGGTTTTTGACGGGCGATGTGCCCCTATTGCATAAGTAATACTGAAGAATGTCCTACTATCATTAACGACACAGGGAAGCTTTTTAGTTATCTTGCTTTGCTAGCAAAGTCATTAGCTAGCAGCTAGCTCATAGCACAAGAACAACAGCCTAATGTCTGTATGATAAAAATACTGAATCGATAGATAAGAACAGCTTTTCCTCACCTGGCTGTCTCCTCCCGCTCAGTAGTTCTTCAGAGAAAGAACTACTTTCCTCCGTTTAAACCGCTACTCTTTGCTAAAGTAGAGAAATTATACAACGTTCAAAGTTTTCCGTTGTCTGACAAGTAGGAAGCCTACTCCAGTATTTTCACCAAAAATTATGTTTTTTAATTCACAAAAAAACTGTTCTGTAATCATTACAGAACAGTTTTTTGTGAATTAAAAAACATAATTTTCAATGTAAAAGACTAAAAGCACAGAGTAAACAGTGTTTTAGATCAAACAACACTGCATCATCCATGGGGCTCATTTGGTTTCACTTACATGTCTATTCAGGTTGACATTGGAGAGGCGGTGCAGACTGAAGACATAGCCATCCGTCCGATCATGGTTGATCTTGCTTAGGGCCAAATGAGCAGCGGCCACAGTGTAATGTGGAATGTTCGCTACCTTTAGCTCCGCAGTTAGCCGCCTTATCTGACTGTGTGAGAGGCAAGTGCGTTGTCACCGGCAAAAGGTCAAAGGTAACAATGTGATCGGAGGGCTTATTGTATTGTTTTTCTTGCCAAAAAAAAGATAATAATAATAATTTCAGTACATGTGTCAAATAAATAATAAAAAAAAAAAAAAAAAAAAAAAAAGGGGACCAAAAGGGCACATTGGGATCATGGAGCAAAAGGGGCAGGTGCTCAAGCCCCCTTAGCCCCCCCCCCCTCTGCACGTGCCTGTATAAGTGTATGCCATGTTATCAGACATATTTATTTTTAACTAACATATTGGTTTAGGCCTGACAGTTGTAAAGAAGCGCAAAGTTTAGTTTCTCTCCTTTAAAGGTATTTTGCTGGAAATCTACCCTGCCAATAAAATCACAATATAATGCAAGTGCTGATGAAGATTCCCAATCATCCATGTCATAGGTATTCCAAAAAAGTTAAAAAATGATCCACTGGACTTTGTTTCCAAGTTTGAAGACATTTCTCTTCCCATCCAGGAAGCTTTTTCAATTCAAAGTATCAGAAGTCAAACTCAACACTATTTCTTACATTTTGAGTTGAAAAAGCTTCCTGGATGGGAAGCAAAACATCTTCAAACGTGGAAGCAAAGATCTTTTTTTTTTACTTTTTTGAGAACATATAATGGAAGGGCCAATTGAGGCTGTTGTACGTTTCTGAAAACTATTATTATTATTATTGTTGTTGTTGTTGTTGTTGTTGTTGTTGTTGTTGTTGTTATTATTATTATATTTAATTATATTATATCAGAGATATATCAGACATCTGTGTGTTTCCTGGACGGGACCGCGTTTTACAGCTGGTTTTTGTATCTATGAATATATTAAAAGTCACCCAGAAAAATGTCTTCTTATGCAGACATCTGCTCTTTATATTTGGTTTCAGCTGGATATCCTCTTAGTGTTGGAGAAAATGAAATTTTTTTTTTTTTTTTATTTCTCATCTGCTGAATTTTTCTTTAAAAATTTCAGACAATTCTTCTTTTTTTTGTTAGTTAAATACTTTGAATGCATTATAAATACATCTAACAGTATGCTTAAAGGAAGCCTGTCAAATAATCTGTTCCTTTTGCCATCCAACAGGAAAAATAACCCCAGATTGAAGTGAATGTGATTCATTTCTCTAAGGGGTTCCTTAGAGAGTCTCTAGTAGAATAGAGACTACTTTTCCTGCGGTCAATTTTTAACAGAAATCCTCACAATCACTATATACAGCAAACTCACAGTAGTGTGGTAATATGGATTTGCTTAAATCTCTGTTGTTCTCCCCTGCAGTACATCCACTCTGCTGGGATAATACATCGGGTTGGTATATCAGCCTTATTGTCTCACCTAAGAATAAATCAAGTTGATTTTAAACATATTGCTTTCATGTTACTATCAGTAAATAGGCAAATAATGTTGTTCCTGTTCTTTCTAGGATCTCAAGCCGAGCAATCTTGCTGTGGGTGAGAACTGTGAATTAAAAGTAGGTTCTAAAAAGCATACAGAGGTTTGACAGACAAATTGCTTGAAGATGTTCATACTTTCTCACATTATAACCATGAATGCACATGCATTTAATTGGGATTCAATGAAAAAAATTTCTTGCATTTAATTGTATGTCAATGTGATAGACTACACATAAAAAAGTTCATAATCACAAGATTAATGGAAAGAAGTACAGTTGGAAAGACTAAGATGCCACTGCAAACCTAGCTGGCCATGGCTGACTTTCTAAACAAGCAGCTATGATAGAAAGGAGCCAAGAAGCCCTTGGAGACTCTGAGATACTAGCAGAGAGAGCTTCAATCACACCACAATATGGTCTTTATAACAGAGGGAGACGTGGGAAGAAGTTACTTTACCTATGGAGTACGACCTTCAACATGCAGTCAGTGTTGTGTCTTTACTTCAACATAGTATATTAAAAATAAATCATCCAAGTCAGAGGTAAAATGAATGGGACTTTACTTAGTTTCACTTTAGTTTTCAATGTAACATATCAATGCACTGGCAGATAACCTATAGGTAAACTTAGTAGCTAGGGGAGTGGCTCAGCTGAAGCAAATAGATCCACTTTATATACTTCATCTTAAAATTGGTAATCCATCTTTTACTTTTCTATTTACTTAATAATTATAATCAAAGAAAAATCTTAAAGGAACATAATGGAATCCAATTTTAGCTTAAATGAATGAAAATGGAAAATAAAGTAAAGTAGTAGCATGAAGCCTTTTTTTTGTTTGTTATATTTCACTAAAGTGCAGTTCTAATATTCAAATTATTGGTCTTAACTGAACTATCCTTATTCTCAGATTCTGGATTTTGGTCTGGCGAGACAAACGGAGAGTGAAATGACAGGTTATGTCGTTACACGCTGGTACAGAGCACCTGAGATCATTTTCAACTGGATGCACTACAGTCAGACAGGTAATGATAGTACTATCCATCTCTATTAGTTTCAGATTAAACCTGAGATTTAAGTAAGACACAACACAATCTGTCAAATTAAACTTTTGTTAATAAATTTTATATCTTTTTAGTGGATGTCTGGTCGGCCGCCTGCATCCTGGCTGAAATGATTACTGGCAAAGTGCTTTTCCCAGGACACGACAGTATCCACATGTGTTATTAAAGATTTTTCAAAACTGAGAAGAAGGGCAGAAATGTGGTAGGACTGAGGTTTAAATTTACGGTGTCTAATTTTCAGCAACATTAAATGGTTAGGCTGTGGACTAAAGTGACATAAGCACTCCCCCCACTGCTTCTCTCCCTCTAACAATACCAGGGCCGACATTGTACACAGTGTCAATATTTGTATCACTTTTATTGTCAAATGATGAAGAGGTTTACAGTAAAGATACACGATCTGGATTTTGGGAACCGATCATCAATCACCAAAATCAGTGTCCACTGATGGATATTGCAGATCACAGCATCAAATCCATAAATTCTACAAAACTGTTGTCTTTTGCACATTGACGTTATATTATTAGGTATGAAAATTAGGAGATGAGAGAGTATCATGAACTGACCACTGTTTTAGTTGGCGGAGGGCAGAGAAGGAGGCAGCGGAAACAAGCTTTTTTCAATCAAATAGATGATAGAGAAAATAATAATAATGAATTAGGAAATGCTCATGTAAGCCATTTTACTTTAGCCCTAGAAGGACTGATATGTCATCCTTCGTGCAGCCAGGACACCGCCTTCTCTCCAATCTGTTTTCCCTGATGGTTCCTCTGATCCTCAGCTGTCCTCCTTCCGACTACTCCAATTAGCCTTTAAAGACTAGCCTCAGCCTGCCGCCACCTCTTTCTGCTCCGTCCCCCTGTTGGGCTTCTCCAATGTACTACTGTCCTCCTCCCGGCCAGCCTCAGCCACAGCTCCTGCCTCTGTCTTCCTGCTTTAATCATCAGCAGTTAGCCTCTATAGCTGGGCCAGCTGTAGCCTCTCTGCAGGCTTCTCCGAACTACCGCTGTGCTCCTTCATTCTCATCCTGAGCTAGCACCAGCAAGCTGCCTCTATCAGTGTGGAGTATGAGCAGAACAACTGGCCATCTCGTCCCGGTTCTGATGCTCTCTCAGCTGATGTGCTTGCACTGATTACCCACTGCCACTGGCTGAACTCCAGAACACCATCTCCCCTTACCTCTGTTGTCCTGCTGATACGTTTTGGGCACTGTGACCAAAACAAACATTGACAAAGCAAAGGAGAAAGATGTGTGTGTAATGAAAACTAATCAAAAATGCACGACTGGTGTTTGAAATCGGTCATCTTCATACTGACCGACCAGTTGCCAGTGGTGGCCAGTGCAAGTCTACTTTGCATAAATTATATAAAAAAATTTATCATATTAGTCTTTGTAGGATACAGATTTTAGGTATATAGGTGTAACTTGAAGCAATCACATTGGAGGGTAACGGTGAGCTCTGCAGTCACTAGTTTGTTAACTCTTTGCTGCCTCCATACCTCCACCCGCTTCTATGTCATTATATTTCTAAGGCAACACAAATGTGAAGATTGAGACTTTCATTTCGTCGATAATGATACATAACATACTTATGTGTAATATATTACATTTCTGTCATAAATTCCTATAATTATTACACACTGCAGCTTTAACTTAAATAATCACAATTTTAAAGTCAACCTATGTACAGTTATTTTTTGCATTTGGCTTTGACCTTTAACTTCCACACTGTGGTTTGGTTTTATGCGGTTTGTTTTTAAGCTGATAGATGGTCCTGGTTTTCCTTAACCTAAGCGTTCAGGTATTGATCAGCTGAAGAAGATCCTCCATCTGACAGGAACGCCAGACTCTTCCCTTGTGCAGAAGATGCAGAGTAAAGATGTAAGTTGCTTTTTTTTACTTTTGCAGACTGCTGTAGCATTTTTGAAATTGCATTAAAGTACATATGCAGATAAATTTGCTTGCTTTGGTCAAGATTTGGAAAAAAAAAACCTTTTGAAATATTTTTTTTTATAGTCAATATCTTGAATCTCGCATTAAAGACCTTAAAAACAATGTACTTTTAATTCCAGTATATTTATCCAGTAATGAAAACAGTCCCTCATTATTTTTTGAACATTAGACTAGATCAGGGTTCCTCGTTTCTGGCCATTGAGGTCTGGTGTCCTAAAACTGTCAGATGATGGCTGATTTACCTCCTCAGCATGCACTCAAGGGCTCCTTCTGAATTTCTAAAATTGTAGCTTCTTCCTCTTGTTCCTAGCTCCTATCCCTGCACCTTTCAAGGGGTGAGCAGTAAGAACTCTATCCAGGGTATCAAAGTATCTCTGGACTGTTTTGCTGAATCTGGACAACCTAGACCTCTACAAACTTCTGGGTTGGACAAGCACATTAACGAGATTTGTCAAAGGACGATTATAGCCTTCCAAAAATCAAATAAAATAAAAGTAACAAAGAGTAACAAAAATGTAAACAAATGGCTGAGGCGCTTATAAAACCAAAAACATATGAAGAGGTATAGAATAGAATAGAATAGAATAGAATAGAATAGATTTACTTTATTTATCCCAAGCTGGGAAATTGTAGTGTAGCAGCAGCTTTACACATAGTGACAGTCACAACACAATAAGATAAAGAAAAAGTAAAAAATCACATAACATTCACACGTATTTACATTATAAAAGTACAGTGAACAGTCCTAAGGTGCAGTGAACAAATTATAATGTATTAAAAAGGTGTACAATAGCATGTATCACACAGTAGTAAGTGTGAAGATAAAAGTTATTTTTATTAATCATGTGGTTGTCCATCCTTTCACTTAAAGGATGGACAACCACTGTACAGCTGGTTGCTATGCTAACTGAACAACTGTTTGCTGTATTTTTTTAACCTACCTGTGTATTATGCATGGTGATCAATTTTAATTTCAGCCCACGTGCAAGAAAGGACATCAAAAAATAGAATTAGGAGTTTGTAGAAACTGATTAATTTACTGTAAAGAAGAATGACATTTTACAGGAAAAACGTCCACCTACATTCATTTAAGCTGAATTGTCAGACCTATCAATAATTTCAGCACTGGTAATTTGTCTTCGAACAATGTTTTATATGGACATAAATATACTCAAATCCTCCGGGATGAACATGTAGCAACAGTGGATATTGTCTTGTATTTTGTCATTGACCCTCCAGCAATCCCTCACACCAAGCCTACATAAAGCAGTTTCTTCCTTTTAACAGGAAGAACCATGCTTAGTGTGGACAGCTTTCGCCAAGGCTGACTGGGGTTTCAAAGAGATGGAGGCAGACAAACAAAACAAACATACAACCACTTATCCATAAAAATGTTTGTGTCTGAAACGATATTAGTAGAGTATCCTTATAGTTACAGTAGCACAATCCAGGAAACAAACAGTACAGGCAGACAAGCTCAGTTTTAATCTTTTTTTTTTGTCAAAAAAAAGATGAAAGAGAGCACACATGTAGTGAATCACAGTCCAATAGCCCATAGCTACGGCTAAGAGAGAAAAAAGACTCATGCAGAAAACAGACAGAAAACCGATCACATAAAATAGTTATCCTCTTAAGTTTAAAAACCACAAAACAACAAGGAATTGTACCGTAAGTGCAGTTTATAACACTTCTGTTTTAGAAAAAAAAAAAAAAATTTAACTTAAAAAAAATCCACAGATGGCGTTGTGACAATCACCTCTCAAGCCCTCAACCTGTAACTTTATTTACAAACCCACAACTTTTATTGCTCCGGTTTCCTTTTCTTTACAAGTAGTTCAGATTATATTCATATACATATGTATTATAAAATCTGTTATCATTACTTGCTCTAAGAAGGGTCTAAGTCGAAATCCGAGTTAGCAAACCCTTTTTACATGGAGGGTTGCCTATCTTCCACGTGTATGTTTGGACTCTTTCTCTCTGGCTACTCCAGCTTCCTCCAACAGTCCACCAACACAACCCTGGTGGTTAGTTGGTCTCTCTTGATTGTCTTTGATTATAAGTGTGTGCAATCTTATCCTTCCTTCCTTGTGATGGAAGGATGATCAGTCCAGGTTGTTTCCTGCTTCCAGGGGCAGATGGGCATATGCAGCACCCCCCCTTTATGGATGGATGGATGGATGGATGGATGGATGGATGGATGGATGGATGGATGGATGGATGGATGGATGGATGGTGTTCTACTATGAATAAAGATGGATTTATCATAGGTTTTTTGCCCCATCTCCATCAGAGCATTCATCTGTTTTTTGCTTTCTGTTCTGTTTCAAATTATCGCGTCATTGCTTTCATTTTATCTCCAGGCTCAGTCATATGTGCAAGGTCTCCCTTCACAGAAGAAGAAGAATTTTAAAGAAGTGTTTCCAACAATGAACGAGAAAGGTGAATTGTTTTTTATTGCCGACCTTACTTTAGGTGCAAATATGATAGCAGATAAATAATACTGATAAATAAACCCCTTTTCGACTGATAAATAAAAACTATTTGAACAGTACCACTGGTTCAGTAAATATTTGTTAAGTCTGATTGGTCATACTTGGTATTTTCTGATGCCTCCAGCTGTTAGCCTTTTGGAGGGGATGTTGCTGCTGGATCCAGAGAAGAGGCTTACGGCCAAGCAGGGACTTGCCCATCCATTTCTGACTGAATACCATGACCCAGACACAGAACCAGATTCAGAACCTTACGATGACTCCTTCGAGAGCCTTGAACTCGACGTTGGAGAATGGAAGAGTAAGTCTTAATGACCTAAAGACTTAGCTGATTTATATTCTGAGGTACCTTTACTAGGGTGACCAAATGTCCGTATATCCCGGGACATATCCGTATTTCACGTCCTGTCCCGGGCATCCCGGGGTTTTTTTAGAAAGTGAGGAAATGTCCAGATTTTTTCGACGCTGCGTGTGACGTAATCCCTGAGCCGCGTCAGTGCGGACAGCCCTGTTCTTAATCAGAGGCTCTGTTCGAAATCCTGGGCTGCATCCTCCAAGAACGCGGTCTACCTAGACTGGATCCTTCGATGTCCTTGAAAATACGGAGGCCGGGAGAGTTTTGGCTGTAAATTCGAACAGGTCCACCCTTCGGCGGGTTTTACCGCCGTATGCTCTGTTGCTTAGCAACCGTGAAAGTTGACACACAAAGCAGGAAAAGAATGAATACCGAGGTTTTCAAAACTGTTTGTTTATTTATTTATTTTTTTTAAAGTTAAAGTGAACAAAGACTACACTCACAAAAATCCAGAGTGGAATAAAGGTTCCAACCACCGGGAGCAGGAACAAATAAAATCAAATGTAATGATAGAAACCTTAGTCATTTAAACAACCTGCTGCACATCTCTGATGTTGCTGCTATTTTCAAATATCCATCACTGTAAAAATGTCCATAGCTGCATATTGGTTATTAATTCTCCAGTTTTATATTGTTAAAACACTTTACAGAATTGTATTGTTTATATTTTAACTCTTCCCTATTATGTTATTTTTATACATTTTTCTAAGGTCCGAATTTGTGTGACAATTTTTAATAATCTTTCTGCTGCTGTAAATTTGCCCATTGTGGGACAATAAAGGGATTTTCTATTCCATAAAAGGGTTAGAAATATATAAGTAAATCTAAACAATGTATGTACAAAATATATCTGCAAAATCTCTAATATTCAAAATCAAAAAATACTTAGTTAAGCAGATTGTGCAAAACAGCAATAAAAAAATTAAACTCCTATCAGATTTATAGTTCCCACTCTGCAGATATATTGGAATCTGTCCTTAAATTACAGCCAAACCCATTTACACAGTAACAGATTAAAACCTTTAGATAAACCAAACATTACCGCCACATATCTGACTCTATAACCATTAAAACAACTATTTTCATTCATTTCAGACGGAACTATTCACAGAGTTGTATTATATTAAACTGAACTTCCAATTTTCACCACTGTTCGGGGCCAAGTAACATTTCCTCTGATCACGGAGCAAATCCCGATGATGAGACATTATTTCTTTCATTGTGCTATTTATTCATTCATTCATAAATACATTTTGAATAAAATTATCGTTTGTTATTGGAGTTATTGCTGTTTACTTTTACTGAAAAGCATTTTTAATAAATCATCTGTAAATATAATGTTATTGTAGGATTACGTAGGCCTACGTTAAGTGAGTGCATGCCACAGACATCTCTATGCATGGGAACAGAGATCCCCCCCACCCTCCCCCCTCCCCCTCAAGGTGTCCTGGTTTTCCCAAATGAAAATATGGTCACCCTACCTTTACTGAGCTAAACTAGTGTTAATTTCGTTAACGAAAACTAAAAGAAAATATTTTCGTCAACAGACATTTTTCACCGAACGAAAACTAGACGAGACGAGACTAAAATCCAACTAATAAACAATAACTGGGAGTAAATCAGAAATAATTTTCGTAGACTAATAAACACCAGACAAAAAAGCAGTTCGGTAAATAAAGACTGGGCTAAAATCTATGGACATTTTAGTTCACGAACAAAGACGAGACGAAAATGACATATTATTATATGATATGGTTTTGTCAAATCCTGTCTCCTCCTCTGCCTCCTCCTTGTCAGCTCTTCCGCCATACACCCACTTTCAAACCTGGAGCGGGTGGACACAGAGTAGCCTACTCAACACATTGAGCAGACAGGAGCTGGGTTCACGGCGAGGCTGGCGACAGGTTAAATGTCAGAAATAGCATTGAGTTTGAGGCTTTATACACTACAACTTTATACACTAAGTCCAGTGGATTGTTTTTGACTTTATTTGGGGACCTAAGATAAGTTCTTTATTATGTTAAGGTTCATTGGTGCAAATTCCTGAAAGATGTCTTTCTATTTTCAGGTCTCATCCACATGGAGATCATGACTTTTGACCCCAGTAATCCAGGGCAGACCGCCATGTAGGAGTGTTGGGAGGGCTAACTGTGTGAAGTAGAAAGGTCAAGAAAAAGTAAAGAAAAGAAAAGCAACATGAATTGCTTTAACGCTATTTTTCTTTAAGTTAAGTTTTTCATGTAATATAATATGTAGTAGAGGCAGCGTTTATTGACACGGATGCCTGTTTAGTCATGGTCAAGAGGTCTGACTGTTGTTTTGATTTCTGACTGTTGTTTTGAAATATTTTAATAGCAAGTTACATACACATTTAAAAAAACGTTAATACATTAAATCTGTCTAAATCTTTCCTGTTTTCTGTCAGCTTGGAAAAGCAAAAATACTTCTGCTAAATGTAAAGAAAAATCAGATGTTTTCATATTCCTAGGTTTACAGACATTTCCTCAGTATTGAGTAGAAATTCCTCCTAAACTATAATTAAAACACTTTGGGTATCTTTCCACTGACTTCACCTCAATAGTTTGTTGGATTTTGATCCATAACTCCTAGAAGAACTACATATGCATCATCATCATCATCTATGGATCAAAATCCAATATAACGGAGTAAGGTTGGAGAGGTCCTTGCTCACATATCTTTTTAAGCAGCAGTATTTCAACAGGAGTATAGAGGTTTGTGATAGCCACTCCAAAAACACTCCATTTGTTGTCCTTAAGTTACCGTATTTTCACGACCATAAGGCGCACCGTACTAAAAAGGGCAGTCCCAGTTATGTGTGCCATTTCTGTATTTAACACACACATAAGGCGCACCTGACTATAGGGCGCGTTTTTTTATATACAGGTACATCTACTACCTTTAAATACCTCTACTGCGTATTTAAAAATACAGCAGGGGCAAAACTGAGTATGACTGTGCTTTATTCATGTATTTATTACAAAGTATTAATCAAACCTGGGAGCTGGCTGTGAGACAGACACATCGCAGATGACAGAGCTGTGATCACTCCTAACTTAACTTAAAATCCGGAATATGTTGCCTGCAGTTTAAATTATTTAGATGAAAAATACCTGCCAGCCACCGCGGTGAACCCGGAGGCTACCCAGCCCAGAGGCTGCTGTTGAAGGGATTTCTACTGTCGGCGCACCGCTGGTATGTGGGGGTCTAAGCGGCTCCGACAGAAATAGATAATCTGGATGAACTGACTGCAATTATTAAGTTTTCAGGTGGACTTTCTCACTTAAAAACATATTAAAACTACTTTATTCCCACTGATCACAGCAAATATAGCTGCAAGATTTAGATTATTTAGATGAAAAAACACCTGCCAGTCGCCACGGTGAAACCGGAGGAGACACGGCCCAGAGGCTGCTGTTGAATTAAGTTTTCAGGTAGAAAAATAGAGCAGGAGCAAAACTGAGTATGATTGTGCTTTATTCATGTATTTATTACAAAGTATTAATCAAACCCATCAAAGTCACCATCCTCTGTTTCTGAATTAAACAGCTGCGCTAAATCAGAAATGCCAATTTCCCCTTCTTCGCTGTCAGAGTCACTTTCCGTGCCGGGCGGCTCCTCAGAAATAATGCCGGCTTTTGCGAAAGCTTTAACAACAGAGCCAGCAGACACGTTAGTCCAAGCATCAACAATCCATCCGCAAACGGTGGCGTAACTTGCCCAGCGCTGCCTTCCACTTTTCATTAAACTGTGTCCTCCTTCTGTCATCCATCGCTCCCACGCCGCTCGCAGCCTTACTTTGAACGGCCGGTTCACACCGATGTCGAGCGGTGGAAGTTCCTTTGTCAGACCCCCCGGGATAACAGCGTTCATTTGATTCACCTTTTTTTTCACATCGGCTGTGAGATGGGCACGCAGTCACAGATTAACAGCGATGGTGATGCGTGGAAAAAAACACCTGGTCTCCTCACATACACCTGCCTCAGCCTCTCTTTCATCATCTCCTCATCCATCCAGCCTTATTCATTTGCCTTAATATCATATGTCATCAGAGCGATGTGTCTGTCTCGCTGTCAGCTCCCAGATCAGCTTCTCTGATTGGTTGATGCGGCGCGTCCAGCAGCAAAACTTTAATTTTTCCATCTCGAGCAGCAGCAGCGCGTTGGCAGATGCTTAAACGCTCCCGACGTGCAGCGCCTGCTGCTCAAAACGCGCTGCAGGACCTTTTGCTGCGCCTATACGCGCGTCAACCATTGACTTTGCATGTAAACACGCTGCTTCAGCTGCACCTGCTGGGTCCGGTTCACACCGATGTCGAGCGGTTGAATAACAGCGAGCACAGCTTAATTTGTTTCACCATGTTTTTCACATCAGCTGTGAGATGGGCATGCATGGAATTACAGATTAACAGCGATGGTGATGAGTGGAAAAAAAACACCTTTCATCATCTCCTCAATGAGGTGGTCTCAAAAGTCGCAGTTACAACACACATAGGGCGCACCGCACCAAAGGGCGCACTGCACATTTTGAGGGGGAAAAAAAGACGTTTAAGTGTGCCTTATAGTCGTGAAAATACGGTAGTTAATGCAGCCATTTCCTTATGTTTTACCTTCCTGTTGCTTTATTATTCCCTTGTAACATTCTGTTTAACTTGATGCCATGGATTTTTAAAATGATCTTCTCATGGACTGCAGCAAAACTCTCAAACTTTACAGTGCAGTACAGTGCCTTTATATTCAGTACCTTTAGGCATTGCAAGGTGGCTTTTGACAAAAACTTGGATTTGGTTTCATTCCAAATTGACTTATATCCAGACATTTCAGTTCTTTTGCCAGCTGTGTTCTGGCTTTTTTAACCTGCCCTCACAATTTTAACCTGTTGCTGTTGTAAAGCAGGCTTTGCAATATTGGCAACAGGAGTTTCTAGAGAAACATGATTTTAAGGTCTTTGAAATATTATCAGGGTCTGTGATGAGAGGTTATTCTATCCATATCAATAATGGCTGTAGACCTTTATTTTTAACCCACATTTTGCCTTTCATATAAAATGCAAAGACTTCAACTAGTATATTAATAACATGATTACTGTCTTTTATACATAGCAGGCATCTCAGAACCTGCTACGTTTGCGAAAAGGTTTACAACACTTTTCACTACCAAAATTTAGGGCCACATTAGAGGACAAACCATTACCATTATGCAGCCCCTGCAATGTAAAGTTTGACTGCTGTTCGACTGTAGTTTATGTTTTTCATTTCAATCAAAGCCAACTTACATACATGGGTAATGGAACTGTCTAATCAGGATGAGGCTGACTTCATTCTGATTTATGTTTGTAATAGACCTACAGCACGTCTCACTCTGAAGCTGCTTAATATATATATTTTTTTCTGATTTTCATTAAATTTCATTTTCATCTTTGAAATATGTGTGTGTTTTTTTTTAGCATGTTTTGTTTTTTAAATAAATCTTGGTGGTATATAATATAGCTTGATGGGGTAAGTGGGAGGATAAATAAATGTTTGTCTGCTTTTGCACAACCTTTACCCCTGTTGTGATCCCTTATCACTGATGTAACCGGAACTATGCCCCTCTGAAGACACATCCCTCCGGCGTAGGTGTTAAAAAGACTAGCTTCCCATATTAGCGTCCTGTTTTGTCAGTGGCTGTGCCGCTAAAAGGATAGGCAAAGTGCTTCCAGCTGACGGCTACGCTATGTAGGAACCAAGTCTCTTGAGAAGTCTATGCTCGCTGGACCAAGTCCGACTGCCTTTTTCCTGCGATTCAGAAGGAGCTTCTAATCCAGCTCTACTAACCCCAGAACAACAGGGCCCACGATCGCTGTTCACCGAAGGAGCCATTAGAAGCCGCCAGACCATGACTACCTGAGACGGTGAGACAGAGCAGCGCCGAGGAGCTGCTATAGGCTGGGGCTATGAGCTAACCACCGTAGCTAAAACTGGAGATGTCTCGTAACTCACGGCTACCGTGAGTTATAAAATTAACCCTTTGCAAATTGCCTCTTATTGTTACATCGGATTGTTTGAGTTGGATGAACGGACTGGACTGAAGAGTGGCCTGCTAAGACCGAACCGAGCTGAAGGCCTTCCCTCCACCAAACCAAAGCAGTAACTTCACCTTTCCCCCTCCTTTTCATCTGAGGCTTAATAAGTGCTCTGCTTGGATGAGCTAGATAAAATAGATAGATGTGTTGGTGTTTTTATTTGAAATAAGCTGTCTGATTCAACTGCTGAAAGTTTTAAAGGTTCAACTGAATCCTAATGCTCACTACATATACTGAAGAAGTCACGTGTTGCTGAAGCTAACTGCTACATTGTGAGCGAACCCTCTTTTTGTTTCAGTTGGACACGATCAGAACCCCTGGGGCCAGCTAAGCTAACAGATCTTTCAGCCTCATCTTGACTTAATGCATTCCTTAGTCAGTATTCAGTTTTCACAATAAACTGAATGAAACTTCCCTATTTTTACTGCAGTTAACATTTCTGCGTCAGTGTTTATTCACATTTTGTCTGATGCTATTATAAGGGACTCTTTCAAATGCATTAAGCCTTAAACTTCAAACATTCCTTAGACTTTGAACAGACTCTTGAACCCCTCTTCCCTTTTTATTTCTTTAATTTTGCTTATTTTCAGTACTGTTTAGTGTTTGTGTAGTTGTTAGAGGTAGAGGTGATTGTAGCTAATAAAGGTACCATTGTATTTTAACCCGTGGACTTCACTCTTCTTTCAGTTGCATCCAAATGAACAGAGACACATTTATTTGGTTGGTGGTTAATTACGTTGCTGATAGCCATAGCCTAAATTACTAAATTGGTGAAAGACAACTGGATTTTTGACAGAGTCCAACCTTTTTAGTAAGAGGCTAAAACCCTGGTCAGTAAGAATATTAAATTTTTTATCATTCAACTGATAATAAATAACTAGTTTTTGTCATGATGGGTTTAAGGTTCTTAGCCCACATGCAGAACACAACGGAGGCTGGGTAAAAGTTTAACGGAGTTTATTGAAAATTTCACAAAACACAAGATAATGTACTGGGTCAGGAACTGGTCCGGGCTGGTTCACTGAAGTCTGCAGAGATGTGAAAGTGAAGTGAAAGCCCTTTGGGAAACTCCTGACACAGCACACACAAGTGAACACTGCACACC